AAATAGCAGAGCCTCTTCTGGTCCTCCAGCATCAAAGCAGCCCTGGGGACGTTATCCTGGGGCTCTCTGAGAGCTCTCTAATCCGGGGGCTGGGGGAGCAGCGGACGATCCATCCCAGAAGCCTCCAGCCCAAAAACTCCACCGTGGAGCTCCTTCAGCGGGAGGATAGCCAGACCGGAGACGCAGGCAGATCAGCTTCTTTATGCCCAGAGGTGCCCCCCCCCCCCTTTTGCAGGAAATGCAGATCCTTCTTTCCCCAAAAATCTGATTTTCAGAGACAGGGCACCCCAAGGTGCTTTTTTTTTCCAAAGGCAGCTGGACTTTCTTGGTTCTTTTTTCCTCGAAAACGTTTCTCTTCTCATCCAAGAAGCTTCTTCACCATTCGGTGGCTCTTCAGAACTGGAGAACCTTCTTGGATGAGAAGAGAAACGTTTTCAAGGAAAAAAGAACCAAGAGAGTCCAGCTGCCTTTGGGACAACCCTGGCTGGGAGGATGAAGATTCCCCATGGATGCAGGTAGTCCTCAACTTACGACCACAGTTGAGCCCAAAATTGATGTTGATAAGTGAGCAATTTGTTGCGGCTTTTGTCCCATTTTATGGCTTTTCTTGCCCCACTTGTTAAGGGAATCCGTGTAGTTGTTAAATTAGTAACACGGTTATTAAGGGGGTCTGGCTTCCCCTGCTGACTTTGGGGATCACAAAAGGGGACCACATGACTCCGAGAGGCTTTAACCGTCATAAATGAGAGTCAGTTGCCAAGCCTCCGAATGTAAACCACGTGACCCCGGGGATGCTGCAACGGTCACCAGTGTGAAAAACGGTCCGAAGTCTCTTTTTTCAGTGCCGCTTCAACTTGAACGGTCACTAAGCGAACTGCTGTAAATCGGGGACCGCTGGCGGTTGTGTCTGCTGCGGACTCGGTTTTGGCCAAGGCAGAACCCCTGCCGGACACAGGAATCTGCTCTCCCGTGGTCAAGGCCCTCCGGCTCTGGGGCTCCAACCCTGACATCCGGCGCAGCCACCATGCTGCTGGGCAAGGCTGGCTGGGGGCGATGGGAGATGTAGTCCAAGCGCCTGGGAGCTGGGGAAAGACAAACCTTCTGGCTGGAAGATCTCGGTCAGAGGGAGGATGATTCTTTCCCGCCTCCCTTGAAACCCTCACCCAGGAGTTGGTGGGAAGAGCGGAGCTGCAGGGCAGGCCTTCCACGCTGAGCTTCGGCCCCAGTAAACTGGCCCATAACTCCGCCAAGGGCCCCATAAAGCCCCAGGGGCCTCTGGCTCAGGGGTCAACGAACTTCCAGGCGAGAAGGCCAAGGCAAGCCTGCAGCCCCACCTTTGCCGTAAAGTAAGAGTAGCCTGCTTGCTTCGCTCTGGAAATGCCGGGGGGTGCTGGTGGTGGTGCTGGTGGCTGTAAAAAGGAGGAGCTGGGGAGGAAGCCAGGCTGCCTTTTGGGTCGAGGTAAAGAGGGGAAAAGGGTGTGTGGATTTTTTTCTAGGAAATTTGAAATGTAAGCAAGGAGGAACGCCAAACAGACCAATGTGGTTTTGTTTTACTGCGGTGTTTATCCACCTCAAGAACTTTAAGACCTGTGGACTTCAACTCCCAGAATTCCCCAGATAGCACGTCCACACCGTCTTAAAGTTGCCAGCAGGCTGGGGAATCCTGGGAGTTGGAAGTCCACGAGTCTTAAAGTTGCCAAAGTCGGGGACCCCTGCTTTCAAGCATTGCAACCAAAGCTGAGCCTAGAACGATGTCTAAAAGCAGTTTTCCAAGGAACCGAACGCTCGTCCCTTCTACAGTTTTTGTAAACCCAAAGCTGGCTTGTCAGCCCACTGCAAAACAAGCTGCCCTTTTCCAACTGGCCCTCCCTCCGCAATTGCGTTACCAGGAGGGGAGCTGAAGAGGAACTTGCTCTACTTTACTTATTTTGAATGGCGATTAAATCGGTCAGCTGGTTCCGCGTCACAGGGGCTTGGGAAAGCACAAGGCCAGTAGCCACCCAGAAGGGAGGGGAGGGGAGGGAAGGGGCAGTGATCCCTTTCGCTGCAAACTTTTCAAAACTTTCTCCCCCTTCCCCCCTCAGCTGCCCTGCAAACCCAGAGGGCACTTCCGCGGTGGCACTTACGGGCATGGGTAATTCTAGGCCACAGCTGTGACATCGCCCTCCCACCCACCCCCCGAAGAGCCGGAGGGGCTTCCAGCAAGTCCCTCCCTCCCTGCCTGCCTGCTGCAGCTTGCAGTCAGTCGGAAGGAACTGGATCCAGTGTTTGGGTGAGATCCAGTTCTCTGCAGCTGATGTATGCAGTGACCTTTGCCTCTCAGCTGAGTTTTCCCCTTTTAATAAGAGACTAGCAGAAAAGACACACCCCCCCCAGCGAGCAGGACAGTTGTGGCCCTGGCACTCCCCTGCCAGGCAGGCACTTTTAGTGCAACATGTTGGTCTACTGGAGGAAGCACTTAACTTAGGAGAGCGTTTCTCAACCATGGCTACTTCTAGACTGGAGTTCGGACTGAACAGACTGAAGCCTGGACTTCAACTCCCAGAATTCCCCAATCGGCCTTCTGACTGGGGAGTGCTCCACCCATCAGGCACTGCCACCCGACCCATGGTGAGATTCTAAAACCTTCCCGCTCGCTTTCTCTCCACCTCAGGCCCCGGAAGTGCCATCTTACCAATATCGGGTAATAGACTAGCGGAATAAGAGAGTCGGAAAGCACCTTGGAGGTCTTCTAGTCCAGCCCCCGGCCCTCTCTTGAGCTGCACCAAAGCAGAAGCAGGACTCCCACCAAGGCAGGTCGTTGGCACAGCCTGTTCACCTCCCTCTCGGGGCCTGGGAGTCTGTGGGAGCTGCTGCGTTTGCAGAGCAGCCTCCACCATATGTTTGATTGCAACCTTCGGTCAGGAGCCTTTGTGCGCTTGTCAGTTCCCGGTGGAGTTTGCTTAAGGTTCAAAAGTTGCCCCTGACAATGACATTTGTGCACCAGAGGCAATGTGTGTTCTTCTACCTCTTTTTATTGGATTGTATACACAATTCCTAGGCTCCCCCAGTACCTTTTCTTTGGAAAATACAGAAGACAGTCATGCTACGGTCACGCTAAGTCCCCCCGCCCCACAACTGACGGTGCCACTGGCCCGCAAGCCCCCTCAGCCCCCTGGCCCAAACCAGGAGAAGGCCCAGTGCCGAAGACCCCTCACCCCGGGCTGAAACTGTGGCTCTCCCCAGCTTTTCCCACGGCATTTCCTGGACAGAAAATGTGCCCCCCCCCAGCCTGGCATCTCCCCTGCCCAAGGGCCCTTGGTCCCCCTTCTGCACCAGGAGGAGCTTGTTCTGAGGGAGGAGCCTCTCCCCCACCTTGGCCTCCCCGCCCTGCCTTCCTCCTCCTCCTCCTCCTCCGCCTCTGCCCTTACCAAGCCTGCTGGATTCCACCTCCTGGCGCATCCCCAGGCAGCAAAGGGGAATGAAAGGGAGGGAATTGGGTGGGGGGGGGCAGGAGCCCCTCCTGCTTCCTCCATAGGCCAGCATGGAAATGACGGGGGTCCTCAACCTACGACCACAGTTGAGCCCAAAATCTCTTTGGCTAAGTGAGACATTTGTTCAGTGAGTTTTGCCCCATTTTACGACCTTTCTCGTCAGAGTTGCTAAGTGAACAGCTGCAACTGTTAAGTCAGTCACATGGTCGTTAAGCGAATCCGGTTTCCCCATTGACTTTGCTTGCCGGAAGGTCACAAAAGGGGACACCGCAGCCGTCATAAATGTGAGCCAGTTGCCAAGGGTCTGAATTTCCATCATGTGGCTGTGGGGACATTACATTAAAAAATGGTCCTAAGTCGCTTTTTTCAATATTGTTGTAACTTTGAACCATCACTAAAATCATTGTAAGTTGAGGACTATTCGTAAGTCCCCTTGGACTGGGGAAGCTGGAGGGGGGGATTAGGGGGTGGGAGGCAGGCTGAAGAAAGGAAAGGGGAGGGGCTCTTTGTCTGACCAAGCCCCTTATGCAGAAATTGGACCTTGCAAAGAGCACACAGGATAATCACCAGCATGTGTGTGTGTGTGTGTGTGTGTGTGTGTGTGTTCACAATGCTGCCATCACAAAAAGAGTGAACTAAGTAGCCTGAGGATGCAAGAGAATTCGAGGCTCTCTCTGCTCCCCCCCCCCATGGCAGATCAATGCTGGGGGCGAGGCTAGCGTCCTCCCACTCGGGCTGAGTATCCCAGGACAGGGGTCTCCAACCTTGACAATTTTAAGACTCAGCCGGCAGAGGAATTCTGGGAGTTGAAGTCCGTGACAAGTCTGAAAGTGAGACCCCTGTCCCAGGAAACGTCCCAAGGCTTCCATCTCACCTGGGCTGCTTCACCTGTGCCACCCAGCATTATTTTTCCTTGGGAGGAGGATGGGGGGGGGAAAGAGGGGCAGAGACCCCATCCCTCTTTGGCCCAGCAAGATGTCTTTTGCCCACCCTCCAAGTGCTGGCTTCTGACCGAGCAGCTGGCCCCCTCCCCCCCCAGGGGGAACCCGGGAACCCAACTGGCTTACATTCATAGTGCAAACGTGCCCCAAAGCATCTGGGGAGTCGGAAAGAAACCGGGGGGGGGGCTTCAGCTGTTCCTGCCAGGATCTCTTGAACCGGAGGCCAAGAGACCCCTGGCTGGGGGGGAGATATTTGTGCCCCCCCCACTCTCCCTCAACTCCCTCACATTCTCAGCCTGTGCAACCTTCTGCCTTTAAATATAGATATATAGAGATCGATCTAGATATATATTATCATTATTCATATAGGGATTTCTGTAAATATAGCTGCCCGCAATCTCTTTAAGTGCCTCTTTCCGTCTCCCTGGCCTCCGCCATTAGCCCCCCTCCCCTTCCCCTGAGTATTAAACCCTCCCCAAAGTGTTTAACAGGATGCAGCCTGCCTCCCCCTCCCCCGCCTTTGCACCCCCTGCCCCCTTAGCCCCACCACCGAGGCGGCCCCACTGGCCTCCCCACCCCTCCCTCCCTACACGAGGCGCCACTGGAGGACACTGGTGTCCACCCCACCGGTGGAGAGCAGCAGGCTGTCGTCGTGGAGGAAGGCGATGTTGGTGACGTGGCTGCTGTGCCCGCTGTAGGTGTGGCTGGGGCCCTGGGGAAAGAGAAGGGGGTCAGAGGGCCAGGAGGCATCCCTAGAGCCTGCTTGGCCGGCCTCTGTGGGAAAAGTGGCAGCCGGCTGGCCTTGTGCCACCCCCTGGCAGCGCAGCCCATTCCCCAAAGGCCACAAATGGGCTCCTCCCTCCGGCTGGGGCCTTGGGCCCTTCTCCCCCCCCCCCCGGCCGAGAAGGGTTTCAAATCCCAGCGTATCTCAGAGGCTCCCGGCGTGGCTGCTCACCCGCGGCTGGCAGCAGGGGTAGGAGAACAAGTGCACTTTGCCGAAGTCGTCAGCCGACGCCAGGAGCTTGCCCTCGTGGGAGCGGCACACGGCGTTGATGTCGGTGCCATCCGCCCCCTCCGGCCAGATCCCTACAGGGGCAGGAGAAACGGTCAGCGGGAGGCTGAAGCTTTTGGGCCACTCGGCCTCCTCTTGACGCCCTCAGCCCACCCTGGGAAACGGAACTGCTCTGGTAAGGCCTCCAACGGCACCTGGCAGCCAGCAGGTGGGGCAGAAGGGGGGCTTTCCGTTTGTGCCTCTGGGTGAAGGGGGGGGTCCCAACACGGGGGTGTTGGCTGCACTTGAAGCTAAATCCCCACCTGGGTGGATTCCTGAAGCTCAAGGTCCTCAGAAGATGCTGGAGGGCAGAGCATCCCCTGTTGCCTAGGCACACGTAGCCCTGTGCTGCCCCCTGCTGGCCCAGGCGCAGACACCCTCCTGGCACCCACGGCTGCTCAGCCCCACGGCGCTTACCAAACACCCCGAAGCCCAGCACGCAGGTGGCGGTAGCCCACTCCAGGTTGCGCACAGCCTCCGCGCTGGTGACTTGCCGGCAGGTGGAGGGATCCCCTGGGGCGGGAAGGAAGGCAGCAGGAATGAAGAAGGCGAGTCTAGAGCTGCCTGTAGCCTCAGCATAGCTAGCTGAGGAGTTCTGGGAGTTGGAGTCCACAAGTCGTAAAGTTGCCAAGGTTGGAGAGCCCTGCGCTAAGGGACAACTGCCCTTCCACCCACTGAGGCTGGGGCCAGTTGGCTCAGGTGGGCAGGAAGAGGCCCCTAAGGGAGGGGCTCCGTGCCAGCTCCAAGATGCCAGAGGGCCCCCCCCACACACACACACGAGGGCCCTTCCGCTCTCTAAAGCCAAGGAAAGCAGAACGGACAATCTGGCTGGCCTGAATAGGCCTGTCCTGGGGGGGGGGGGGCATCCTTCAAGGGCCAAGACAGCATCTAGACTAGCAGGCCTGCAAAGTCCCTTCCGTTATTCTGAAACTGGGCCAGGAAACGGCCAAAGGCCGCCCTCTTCTTCCAAGGGGGGAGGGGACACACCTCAACCCCCAACAAGGACACGGCAGTGACCACAAGTCACCCTGTGGGGGAGAAGGGCAGCTTCCAAATTTGATAAATAAATAAAGTGGAATAAACGACGGTCCCTCTTCAGGCCCAGAATACTCACAATAGAGAATCTCATAATCCCCCGAATTGGTGACCAGGCAGCTGCTGTCAAAGGCCCAGTCCAGATGGGTGATGAAGCTGGAGTGACCCTGGGGCAAGGAGGACAGTCAAAGCCAGTTTTGGGAAAGGCCGACAAGGAGAAGATCCTCGCATCAGCGCCCTCTTTTTCTTTTGGACTTTCAGGAGAATCTGGAACTCGCAGCAGCTCTGTGACTTGGCAGGAGAGCCTTGGCCGTCCGGGGCTGCCCAGCTGAGCCCCAGTTCAAAGGAGCGCCAGCCCGCCCTGCCGCGCCCAGAAGACCCCACCTGGAGAGGCCTCTCCCCCCCCGGCAGCAGCCTCCACTCACCGAGCATTTGCCAACCCGACCGTACTTCCTGCCACCCTCGGAAACCAGGTAGATGTAGACAAAGTTATCATGGGAACCCAAAGCCAGGTACTTCCCGTCTGCAAAGCCAAAGAGGAGAGTCAGCAGGGAGGGGGCAACGGCGTGGAGGAAATGTGGGGCAAAATCTTTCTTTCTTTCTTTCTTTCTTTCTTTCTTTCTTTCTTTCTTTCTTTCTTTCTTTCTTTCTTTCTTTCTTTCTTTCTTTCTTTCTTTCTTTCTTTCTTTCTTTCTTTCCTTCCTTCCTTCCTTCCTTTCTTCCTTCTCTCCCTCCCTCATTTCTATTTCTAAACCACCCATCTCTCTCAAACACCCCCTGCGGCATCTGGGGCTCAGAACCCCAAGAAATCACCTTCAAATCTGTGTCTTTTGTGTCCTTCCCACAGAAGGACACGGGGGGGGGGGCTGGACTGCCTCCTCTTTGGCAAACCCACACCCGATGCCACGCTTGGCCTTTGCAAATTCTCCTACCCCCTGCCTGTACGGAGCCCCCCCTCTTTCCAACCTGGGGAAAAGCTGACCACAGAGATGGGCTCTCCTCCGTCCGTGTGAATGGCCACCAGGTCCCGGGTCTCCGTGTCCAGCACTAGCCACCTGGTGGGAAGCAGAATGGGGAGGGGGGGGAAGAGATGTTACAGCAGGCCAGAACCCCGCAGGGGCTGCAGGTGCGAGTCTCCCTGTCTGTCTGCTCCTTTGCACCTTCCCCCATGATCAAGGCAGAGGAAGCATACCAGAGCAAGGAGATTAAAAAGTGAGCAGGTTTTATTAAAGGAGGACAGAGTCTCCTCCACGCCAGGGGCACAAAGTTTGGGGCACTTGAGTCTTTCTGAACCGAGAGGCCCCCAGCAGTTGGGCCCAGGGAAACTCCTGCCCCTCCCGAGATTTCCGAGACCGCTCCCCATTCCTCTTTGAGCAGCTATCCAAGACACCCAGGAGCCCCCAGAAGGGCAGCACAGTACCAAAGCATTGAAGGGAGGGGGTCCCAGAGAGGGTCTTCCACCCTCCCCACCCCACCAGGACTCCCTGCGCCCATTACCTGCCCGTGACAGTGCCCACCACCAGTACCGAACCGTTGGGGTGGAAGCCAGCCGAGCGAGCTGCATCCTGGAAGAGGGAACAGCCTTCAGACGGTGCCCTTGGGGCCCCAGAGGTGGTCTTCATGGCCCCAGAAGCCCCTGCAAAAGACCCTGTGCTCACCTCAATTCCCTTGCTCCACAGAGGCTGGTGGGTGGCCACACTCCACAGGTGGACCTGCTTGTCCTGCCCACAGGTCAGGAACTGGTCCACGGTGGGGTGGGTGGCCAGGCCCCAAAGCTCTTCGGTGTGTCCCTAGTAGGAGAGGGGGGGGGTCAGCTGGCCTCTCCATGAGGGTACCCAGGGTGCCAGGGCCCTCCCAGCACAGACCGCTACCTGCACCAGGAGAGAGAAGCCGGTCGACAAGGACCCCTGTAGCACAGAGTTGCGAGTGGTGCCCACAAAGAGCGAGTCGCCCTTCCCTTCAGCAATGGTGCGCACTGGTCCGAAGCCATCCGGGACCTGCAGAGAATCACAGAGTTGGAAGGGACCTTCGAGGTCTTCTGGTCTGACCCCCTAATCCAGGGGTCTTCCTCCTGGCTGAGGAGTTCTGGGAGTTGAAGTCCACAAGTCATAAAAGGGCCAGGTTTGAAGACCGCTGCCCTAATCAATCGGGAAACTCCAGAGGGACAGACAGACAGACAGACACGGCCCTGAGGAAGACCCGGAGAGACCCAGCGCATGTCCACAACCCAGACAGGGAGCGACGTGAGTTGGGCTGCTTAAGTAGGGATAAAATATACTAAACCTATTTTGGCTTGGGAAGAGGCTCCTATGGAGAGCGAGCACTTTCCTCTCTTTTACCACTAAAAGCCGAGCATCTTTTTCACCCTGCTGGTCATTTATTTCAGGGGTTTGGCCCCGGGTCTCACCTCGTTCTCCTGCAGCTTCTGATAATCCCGTCCCCAAAGCACCACCCGGCGGTCTCGGCCGCCCCCCGTGAGGATGGTCCCATTCCGCAGCACACAGAGGCCGAAGATGCCCCCCTCGTGGGCGCCGGGCACCGCGTGGCAGATCCGGTTCCCCCCTGCCGGTGAAGGACAAGAGTGGCACAGAGCGGGCATTTAGGCACAGCCCGCCCAGAGCACCAGGTGGGGGGATCTGCCTCCTGTCCCATAAACAGGGCATCTTGGTTTTATAGCAGGGGTCTCCAGTCGTGGGAACTTTTAAGACGTGTGGACTTCAACTCCCAGAATTCCCCAGCCAGTCCACACGTCTTAAAGTTCCCATGATTGGAGACCCCTGCTATAAGCCACAGGGGTTGAGTCTTCCTCATCTTGACCTGGGGAGACCATGGAACCAGCAGATTCGCTTTGGAGCAACCGTAGTCTGGCTTGCATGATTTAATAGTTAATTTCCACGCTGTCGGTTGCAGGGATTTAATCCACAAACCCTGCTTTATGCAAAGTCAGTACTCCTGGCCTGGGGTGCCCAGACAGCCTTTGGGGAGTAAGAAAGAGCCTTGCCCACTGCCCAACCGACCTTTGCCCCAGATGTAAAGGTTGCCCCCGGAGTCGCCGGTCACCGTGTCCCCGTTTTCTGTAAAGGCCACGCAGAGGACATACTTGGGCTTCTCGTGTTTCTGCAGAGAAAGGGGGGGGGGAGAAGAAAGGGAGGAGTCCCCAAAGGGACACTTCAGAGCCCCCCCCGAATATCTCCATTCACCCGCTGCTGAATTGCGCCTAGTCCTCGGCTTACGGCCACAGTTGAGCCCACACTTTCTGTGGCTAAGCCAGACAGTTGTTAAGAGAGTTTTGCCTCATTTTACGACCTTGCTTGCCACAGTTGTTAAGAGAATCATTGCTGTTGCTAAGTTAGTAACACGGTTGTTAAGAAAATTTGGCTTCCCCATTGACTTTGCTTGTCGGAAGGTCGCAAAAGGGGATCACACGACACCCCCCTCCCCGGGTGCTGCGACCGTCATAAATGTGAGTCAGTTGCCAAGCGCCTGAATTTTGATCATGTGACCACGGGGATGCTGCCACGGTCGTTAAGTGTGAAAACAATCATCAGACACTTTTTTTCAGTACTGTTGTCACTAAGCGAAGTGTAGTAAGTTGAGGACCACATATACTACGTTTGAAACAAAAGGTGTAAAGCCTGAATCTCAGCTTCTCGTCCCACTTCTGAATGGGAGGGAGATGGAAGGCAAGAGGGAAGCCCACAAGAGAGTGGGGGGGGGGGCTGATCGGGGCCTACATTTCCCAGAGTTCTGTGCTCCAGCAGAACTCAGAACCTGCAATTAGCACAGCGAAGTGTCTGCTTATTTCTGGACACCGGTAAGCTCTCTGGCACGAGGCCCATGGACACCAGTGGACCTGGGCAATGGGGCTGAGGGCAGGGAAGCCACCCCAACGCTGCCCCCCTCCCAGCCCCCCTTCTCCCCTTGCTCTCACCTCAAAGATGCCCTGCCTTTTGCTGAGGCTGCCACCTTCCAGGGTCCAGAAGTGGATGTGGGATTTTCCACAGGTGATGAGGAGTGTGGGCTCCGTGGGGTGGAACGTGGCGGCCAGCACGGACTCATTGGAACACTTGGGAAGGAAAGGAAGGAAGGAAGGAAGGAAGGAAGGAAGGAAGGAAGGAAGGAAGGAAGGAAGGAAAGGAAGGAAGGAGAGTGTGTCAGATGTGAAACACGGGTGCCGGATTTGGTGCAAGGAATGGAAGCGAGCAAGACGGCTACCTTCACGTCAGCCAGCTTCTGCTCCTTCTGCCAGTCCCAGACGGAGAGCACGTGGTCGTTGGAGTCATCCACGGCACACAGGAGGCCACCCCCGTTCTGGGCAGAGGAAAGAGAGGGCCAGTTGGGCAGGGAGGCAGCTGCCCCCCCAAGAGTCGCTCAGCCTGGGCAGGTCGTTCCTTGCACAGGTTGAAGGGGAGATTGATTCTATTTTGCTCAGTTGGGTGGGAGGGGTCTCCAAACTTGGCAACTTTAAGACTTGTGGATTTCAACTCCCAGAATTCCCCAACCAGCCATGCTGGCAGCCAAATACCCCATCTTGACTGGCTGGGGAATTCTGGGAGTTGAAATCCACAAGTCTTAAAATGGTTGAGGTTGAGAAACGCTGCTCCCAACCAAGGATGCCCCATGTTCTAATCTGGCCACAACGTGGTGTGTGTGGGTGTGTGTGGGTGTCCCAGGTGGTCCCTTTTGGGCCACAGGAGGAAATCGCGCTCCAGAAGCTGGCAGGAGGGGGTCTCACGCACAGACTTGGAGAATCCCACGCAGGTGACTGCTCGGTCGAAAGGTCCAGGCCCCAGGACGTGGAGGGTGTTGAGGCTCACGGAATCCCAGATGCGCACCTGGGGCGGCAACGCCTGTGGGAGACGCAGGGAGACGCACCTTGAGACAAAAAGCATTTCCTCCGAGAACGCAAACTCGGCTTGTGCCGCTCGTTGCCAATGGATGCAACGTTAGCCACGGGGGAAAAAAGGAAGACGAGTGGAACAGGTTCCCGAAAAGGTCCACTGATTGCCTGTTAGCCACGACAGGAACAAACAACACAGGGCTCTGGGCCAGGCAGCCTGCAGCCTGTGAACACCCTGAAAATGCCAGGGGAAAGTGGCTGGGCGATGCCCACTTTAAATGCTCCCGTTTTGTGCACTTCTGACCTTTCTGCACCAAACGCCCAAAGCAGCTGAGGCAGAGACGCAACTTAACAGGCGCCGTTTTTCAAACGGCATTAATTCAGCTCTAAACTGGGGGGTTTCCTCTCTAACTGTAGCCCCCCTCCCCCTTAGGTCACCCCCTTCACCTTGCCGTCCTTTGACGTCCCGGCCACCTGTCCGGTTGCTACAGTCACCATGTCTGGATGCACAGTCAAACTAAGGGAGACAGCGAAGGGCCCAAGTTACAGGGGTGCAGGATACCCCGGTTTACTAGGACCGGGGGCCACCATTCCTATCGCACTCTTTTCCCCGGGGTAAAGCGCCTCCCCGCCTCCTTACATTTCTTCAGCCAACTACCATTTTCCCAAACCATTCTCCAATTCTGCCAAGGTGCCAGTGGCCTCCCCTAACCTGGCGGTGCCTCTTTCCCTCCCCGCTGCTTGTGTCCGTCTCCCCAGCCATGCTCCCACGGGCCCTTCCTACCACTTGATATCGTCGGTGTGGCCCAGGTAGTGGCGCTGTCGCTGCTCTTCCACGTTGTAAAGGACGGCCACGGCAGCCACGAAATAGACAATCTCCCCCGTGGGCAGCAGGAAAAGGTTGGCCCGGCAGTCACGGCCCCGATACCCGTACCTGGAGCGATGGCCACGGGTCAAGGGACAACACAAGGGGACTTTGCCAGGACGCCTGGAGCCAGCCTTTGGGGCCCAGCCGCCCTCCGCCCCGGGGGACCCAGCCGTGAGCAGGATACACCCAGTCCAGCTTCAGCTTCTTGTGCGGCAGCTCCAGCTTGGCGTCCAGGCTGTAGGTGGCCACCACGGCATCGGGGACAAACATGGGGATGGGCCGTCCCCGCAGGAACATTTTCACGTAACCATCCTCTGCAGGGGAGAAGGGGAGGGGGGCAAGGTCAGGTAGGGCAGCTGGCTGGATCCTCGTTTGATCCCCCCCCCCAAAGGCCAGGTAAACTCCCAGCTCTCAGCATGGCCCACCCCGCCCCATGGGTGGCCTGCAGGTAGGGCAAGTGGGGGCCTCATCCTCATATGGGACCCCAAAGGGGCGCCCTGCAAATAGGAGGGCCAACGCCAGCTTTAGACCTCTTTAGGACTGGTCTGCATCCCACTCTTTGTAAAACTTCCCTCCCTCCTGTGGGTTTTCTTCTCCTGGGCTGCCCCCACTCTGGCCCCAGTGAAATAAGCTGGACCTTCTCCCCCCCCCATCTATCATGGCTGCATCCACTCACCAGCATTGAAGATGGCTTCTTTTGGTTTGCTATGAGAGAGAAAGAAACTTGATTGGGAAGGAATAGGAAAGGGGGGGGGGAGATGGGGAGGGGAAATAAGCCCCACACATCTAATTGCAGAGTCAGCTGACCCTGGATGACCCTTCAGTCACCCACAACCTCCCCCAAAGGGAGACAGACTACTTCCCCCCCCACACCCCCAAAGATACCCAGATACTTGCCTGAACGAGTGTCCTCACATTTTAGGGGTCCTCCTTTCCCTACCAGTCCATCACTCCCTTCTTCCTGCCCCTCTTATTCCCAAGTCCTGGACCTCTCCAGATATTAAGGCATTCCCGTGTCTTCCCTGCCCCCAGCCCCAAGTGACCCCTCGGGAGACCCCAGCCCCATTGCAGGAGAAGCCAGTTGGAGTCCAACACAGCATGGTGTGCAATGTGAACGCTGCCCAAGCACAGCGGGGAGGAAGCAGCTCTGGCCCGGGGTGACTGCTGGGGCTGCCACAGTCCCCCCCCCGCTGCCCCCCCCNGGGGGGGGGGGTGTCCCTAACATAGGCCACATTCACAGCATGGGTGGGTGAATTTGGCTGCTGCTTGGTGGGGCTGCATATGTTGCATGCAGATAATCAACATCAGAGAGGAATGATCTTCCTGCTTAAGTCACCCTAGTTTCTCTCTTTTTGCTTATCTAATTTTCTGCATAGTTTCCTGGCGTGCAAGGTTGCCGGATGTCATGGCTGCAGATAACGCTCCTTGGCCTCAGCTGGCTAAAGGAATTTTGCTCTGCAAGGTTTCGGCTGCCCTGCAGAGTGGCCGGGGCAGGCCTCACCCAGTCTGAGCTGCCCAGCTCCCAGGGAGATTAGATGGACCAGCAAAGGAGAATATTTGCCGCTCAGGGTTGAAATGAGGGCTCCTCGGGGCTCTCTGAGCTGGGTGGTTTCCTTGCAGACGTTTCCTTACCCAACTAGGGAACATCATCAGTGCCGGAAGGGAAGGGTTTTAACTTCCCACTGATGATGTTCCCTAGTTTGTGCAATGAAGCGTCTGCAAGGAAACCACCAAGCTCAGAGAGCACCGAGGAGCCCTGGGATCAAACTGACCGATCCTGACTAGCTTCATAGCTCAGAACACTCTTCTCTGCATTGCAACGTTGCTTTGGCAGCGGGAGGTGCTGGTGGCGATGGCGAGGGTGGCAGGCGCGCAGTGGGGGTGTGGTGTGGGCATCTGCCCGAGTGGCCAGTTCAGACATACCCGTCGCGTTTGCCGCTGCAGGAGCTGCTGGAGGAAGTGGTGCGGCTCCTCTGGTCCTTGAAACTCTCGCGCTTGAGCGAGGCGGGGCGCTCCGGCGAGGGGCAGCTACTGTGCCCGCTGTAGGAGAGAGAGCCTGAGCGAGAGAGCCAGACAAGGCCTGCAGGGGGGGGAAGGCAGCGGGGTGAGTGAGCCAGCTGGGAAACGGGCGATGGAGAAGAGGAAAGCCAGGCGGAAGCAGATGCAGGCAAGAGGCTGAGAAGCGCCAGGCCGGAAAGAAAAGCCCCCTCCGAGTCGGAGGGCTGAATGTGCAGAAGAGGCCATGAAGTTTTTCCCAGCAGCAGCTGAAGCAGCCAAAGGTGGAAGCAGCAAGCCAGGAGAGGGAGAGAGAGAGATGTGGGGCCCTTCGCTTGGGTGCCTGACCCTCCTGCACTTGGAGGGCTGGAAGAGGAAAGCTTTGCAGAGCTGTTTTTGGTTGCAAGGGGTCAAGCCACGAAGGGCTGCTCCCTTTCCTCCCCCTGGCCAGGGAGCCTATTGCAGAAGAGACCCCCTGCAGACCTCCCCTTTCTCCCTGGGGGGCTGGAAGTGGGGGGGGTAAGGACAGTGCTCTGGAAGACAGGCCTGGGGGGGAGCCTGATCAGTCTGGTTGACCCAGGCCAGTCAAGCAAAGGAGGAGAGCCGAGGCAGCTCCCTGAACCTAGGCAAAGGCCTGCCTGCCTGCCCCCCAACTTAATGAGCACCCTCGGGGTTCACCAGCTGCCCTTGGGGGACTCGGCCTCACGTCGGTCTTGCACTGTCACAGAGGCGAGGGAAGGTTCCCCAGCTACCAGGCCCCTCTGCGCCCCCCTGGAGGGGTTAGCATCACAGCAGAAGCAGGTGGGGCGCAGGAAGCAGAGAGCAGCAGCAGGGGGGGGTGAAATGGGGGTCAGGAGCCATGTCATGATCCCATGGAGAGTCAAGAGGCATCCCTTGAGTCCCTAACCACCCTGGAGGGATGATTTACTGTTCCCCTCCCCACTCTATCACATATTGTATGAAGAGGTAAATGTATGATTTGCTAAACCCCCCCCCCCCATCCTGGAAAAAAAAAGATTTATCCCAAGATCTAACCAGTGCCACTACGGGTGGCCAATATAAAATGTTATTCTTTAAAATCACTAATTTTACTGCTTCTCTCAGTGCAGTGGTTCTCCACCTTGGCCCCTTTCAGATGGGTGGGCTTTAAAGTGGGTGGGCTTTGGTGGTTGTGGAATTGTGGGAGTTGAAGCCCACCCATCTTAAAGGGGCCAAGGTTGGAAAGTCCGTCTTTCCAGGAAGCGCAGCCTCTTCTAGAACTAAACCATCACAAACCATTTCAATGGAAAAAAAAAGTATTTTCATAGGCCTGTTCAAAAGAATCGTCTCTGCCTCTGAATTCTGACTCTTGAGAAGGGACTTTGGGGGCCTTTGGGGACTGTAGTTTTTAGGCAGCTGTCTGGCTGACCCCCACCCCACCCCCACCACTAGGAAAAGCTGCTAGGGGAAGAGGATCTTGCGCTGACTCAATGCATGCGGTTTCATTCATTGAGGACCAGCAGCTTGAATGTTTGTTCTACTGTTCTCCCACTTCCCTCATTTTTAGCGAGCAGGGACCCGGAAGCCAATCTCTCCATCAAGTCCAAGTCTTTCGTGGAAAATAACCCCCAAGTTTTCTCAACTGCACAGAAGAATTCAGCAGGAATGTTTGTTTGCGCTCTGCCCGTCCCCAGAGTCAGAGGCGCCGCTGCGGGAGACAGAGATGGAAGCGCATCAGGCTGTCTCCAAGATACAGCCAGGTTGGGCGAGGCGCCCGCAGGACTTGTGGAGAAGTTTCTGGCTTTTTCTGACTTCCCAGGAGCTTTGGGCAAGCCTGCTGCGCTCTCCCAGAAGGCTTAAATCTCATCGGATTGGAAAAAGAGGAATTTTCCTTCGCCTTGCTCACCTGCCTAGGAAACCTAAACTGCATTCCTGAACCACAATTCATCTTTCTTGAATTTTTTTTCTTCAAAAAAAAGAATACAGGGAATCCTTGACTTATAACAGTTCATTTAGCGACCGTTCGCAATTACAACAGCACTGAAAAAAGCGAGTCGTGACTGTTTTTCACACTTACAAGCATTATAGCATCCCCCAAACCACGTGATCTAAATTCGGACGCTTGGCAACTGACTCATAGTTATGACGGTGGCCGTGTTCCGGGTCACGTGATCCCCTTTTGCGTCCTTTAACAAGCAGAGTCAATGGGGGAAGTCCGATTCAGTTAACAATCTTGTTGCTAACCTAACAACTGCAGTGAGTCGCTTAACAACTGTGGCAAGGAAAGTCGTAAAGTGGGGCAAAACTCACGTAGCAATTGTCTCGCTTAGCAACATAAATTTTGGGCTCAATTTGTGGTGATAAGCCGAGGAGTGCCTGTGCTGCCCGCGAGGGGGACTGTTGAGGAAATAGTGAGGCCAGCCACGTCCCCTTTGGCGCCTTGCAACTCAACCCTGTTGCTTTCTACTTTCCTCAGCAGGGAACCGGGGAGGTCCCGATTCTGTGTGGACTGAATTTCCACGCATTTCAGTTCTTGAGGGGAATGTGCACCCTTCAGAATGCTTTTCAAAACTGAAAAAACATTTTAAAACTTTTATCTGTTCAACCCCTAGGTAGGTAGCCCTAAGAAGAGCCAGAGTGGGGGGGCATCTCCCGCTCAGGTTTTAAATTCCTTCTAATACTAGAAATCCCTTTTTGATTCAGGCGCAAAAGGCCACCAGGCATCTAAAATGCAGCAGCAACCGTCATCCTGAGAGCTGTGGGTGCGATTCCACAGGCCCTCCCCGCTTCCTAAAAGGGGCAGCGCCCCCTGGTGGACCAGCGCATCACCTTTTTCCANGTTTAGTTGGTTCCGCACCGAAACAGAGCAGCCTCGAGATGCGGGAGGGAGGGGGGTGAAGAAGGGGCGCTGGTCTTTGTGTCCAAAAATGGCCAGAGGGCTTAGAAATCAGCTGCAGTATCTCCCCAGGCCCATCCCAGGCCCAGGCTGCCCTGCCCTATTAATGGATGGATTTCTCCTGTTGAAATGGGGGGGGGGGTGTCCCTAACATAGGCCACATTCACAGCATGGGTGGGTGAATTTGGCTGCTGCTTGGTGGGGCTGCATATGTTGCATGCAGATAGTCAACATCAGAGAGGAATGATCTTCCTGCTTAAGTCACCCTAGTTTCTCTCTTTCTGCTTATCTAATTTTCTGCATAGTTTCCTGGCATGCAAGGTTGCCGGATGTCATGGCTGCAGATAATGCTCCTTGGCCTCAGCTGGCTAAAGGAATTTTGCTCTGCAAGGTTTCGGCTGCCCTGCAGAGTGGCCGGGGCAGGCCTCACCCAGTCTGAGCTGCCCAGCTCCCGGGGAGATTAGATGGACCAGCAAAGGAGAATATTTGCCACTCAAGGTTGAAATGAGGGCTCCTCGGGGCTCTCTGAGCTGGGTGGTTTCCTTGCAGACGTTTCCTTACCCAACTAGGGAACATCATCAGTGCCGGAAGGGAAGGGTTTTAACTTCGCACTGATGATGTTACCTAGTTTGTGCAATGAAGCGTCTGCAAGGAAACCACCGAGCTCAGAGAGCATCGAGGAGCCCTGGGATCAAACTGACCGATCCTGACTAGCTTCATACCTCAGAACACTCTTCTCTGCATTGCAACGTTGCTTTGGCAGTGGGAGGTGTTGGTGGCGATGGCGAGGGTGGCAGGCGCGCAGTGGGGGCTTGGTGTGGGCATCTGCCCGAGTGGCCAGTTCAGACATACCCGTCGCGTTTGCCGCTGCAGGAGCTGCTGGAGGAAGTGGTGCGGCTCCTCTGGTCCTTGAAACTCTCGCGCTTGAGCGAGGCGGGGCGCTCCGGCGAGGGGCAGCTACTGTGCCCGCTGTAGGAGAGAGAGCCTGAGCGAGAGAGCCAGACAAGGCGCGGGGGGGGGAAGGCAGCGGGGTGAGTGAGCCAGCTGGGAAACGGGCGATGGAGAAGAGGAAAGCCAGGCGGAAGCAGATGCAGGCAAGAGGCTGAGAAGCGCCAGGCCGGAAAGAAAAGCCCCCTCCGAATCGGAGGGCTGAATGTGCAGAAGAGGCCATGAAGTTTTTCCCAGCAGCAGCTGAAGCAGCCAAAGGTGGAAGCAGCAAGCCAGGAGAGAGAGAGAGAGAGAGATGTGGGGCCCTTCGCTTGGGTGCCTGACCCTCCTGCACTTGGAGGGCTGGAAGAGGAAAGCTTTGCAGAGCTGTTTTTGGCTGCAAGGGGTCAAGCCACGAAGGGCTGCTCCCTTTCCTCCCCCTGGCCAGGGAGCCTATTGCAGAAGAGACCCCCTGCAGACCTCCCCCTTTCTCCCTGGGGGGCTGGAAGCAGGGGGGGGTAAGGACAGTGCTCTGGAAGACAGGCCTGAGGCCTGGGGGGGGGGGCTGATCAGTCTGGTTGACCCAGGCCAGTCAAGCAAAGGAGGAGAGCCGAGGCAGCTCCCTGAACCTAGGCAAAGGCCTGCCTGCCCCCCAACTTAATGAGCACCCTCGGGGTTCACCAGCTGCCCTTGGGGGACTCAGCCTCACGTCGGTCTTGCACTGTAACAGAGGCGAGGGAAGGTTCCCCAGCTACCAGGCCCCTCTGCGCCCCCCTGGAGGGGTTAGCATCACAGCAGAAGCAGGTGGGGCGCAGGAAGCAGAGAGCAGCAGCAGGGGGGGGTGAAATGGGGGTCAGGAGCCATGTCATGATCCCATGGAGAGTCAAGAGGCATCCCTTGAGTCCCTAACCACCCTGGAGGGATGATTTACTGTTCCCCTCCCCACTCTATCACATATGGTATGAAGAGGTAAATGTATGATTTGCTAACCCCCCCCCCCATCCTGGAAAAAAAAAGATTTATCCCAAGATCTAACCAGTGCCACTATGGGTGGCCAATATAAAATGTTATTCTTTAAAATCACTAATTTTACTGCTTCTCTCAGTGCAGTGGTCCTCCACCTTGGCCCCTTTCAGATGGGTGGGCTTTAAAGTGGGTGGGCTTTGGTGGTTGTGGAGTTTTGGGAGTTGAAGCCCACCCACCTTAAAGGGGCCAAGGTTGGAAAGTCCGTCTTTCCAGGAAGCACAGCCTCTTCTAGAACTGAACAGACATCCTTTACAACCATCACAAACCATTTCAATGAAAAAAAAAAGTATTTTCATAGGCCTGTTCAAAAGAATCGTCTCTGCCTCTGAATTCTGACTCTTGAGAAGGGACTTTGGGGGCCTTTGGGGACTGTAGTTTTTAGGCAGCTGTCTGGCTGACCCCCACCCCGCCCCCACCACCCCCACCACTAGGAAAAGCTGCTAGGGGAAGAGGATCTTGCGCTGACTCAATGCATGCGGTTTCATTCATTGAGAACCAGCAGCTTGAATGTTTGTTCTACTATTTGCCCACTTCCCTCATTTTTAGCGAGCAGGGACCCAGAAGCAAATCTCTCCATCAAGTCCAAGTCTTTCGTGGAAAATAACCCCCAAGTTTTCTCAACTGCACAGAAGAATTCAGCAGGAATGTTTGTTTGCGCTCTGCCCGTCCCCAGAGTCGGAGGCGCCACTGTGGGAGACAGATGGAAGCGCATCAGGCTGTCTCCAAGATACAGCCAGGTTGGGCGAGGTGCCCGCAGGACTTGTGGAGAAGTTTCTGGCTTTTTCTGACTTCCCAGGAGCTTTTGGGCGAGCCTGCTGCGCTCTCCCAGAAGGCTTAAATCTCATCGGATTGGAAAAAGAGGAATTTTCCTTCGCCTTGCTCACCTGCCTAGGAAACCTAAACTGCATTCCTGAACCACAATTCATCTTTCTTGAATTTTTTTTCTTCAAAAAAAAGAATACAGGGAATCCTTGACTTATAACAGTTCATTTAGCGACCGTTCGCAGTTACAACAGCACTGAAAAAAGCGAGTCGTGACTGTTTTTCACACTTACAAGCATTATAGCATCCCCCAAACCACGTGATCTAAATTCGGACGCTTGGCAACTGACTCATAGTTATGACGGTGGCCGTGTTCCGGGTCACGTGATCCCCTTTTGCGGCCTTTAACAAGCAGAGTCAATGGGGGAAGTCCGATTCAGTTAACAATCTTGTTGCTAACCTAACAACTGCAATGAGTCGCTTAACAACTGTGGCAAGGAAAGTCGTAAAGTGGGGCAAAACTCACGTAGCAATTGTCTCGCTTAGCAACATAAATTTTGGGCTCAATTTGTGGTGATAAGCCGAGGAGTGCCTGTGCTGCCCGCGAGGGGGACTGTTGAGGAAATAGTGAGGCCAGCCACGTCCCCTTTGGCGCCTTGCAACTCAACCCCGTTGCTTTCTACTTTCCTCAGCAGGGAACCGGGGAGGTCCCGATTCTGTGTGGACTGAATTTCCACGCATTTCAGTTCTTGAGGGGAATGTGCACCCTTCAGAATGCTTTTCAAAACTGAAAAAACATTTAAAAACTTTTATCTGTTCAACCCCTAGGTAGGTAGCCCTAAGAGGAGCCAGAGGGGGGGGGGCATCTCCCGCTCAGGTTTTAAATTCCTTCTAATACTAGAAATCCCTTTTTGATTCAGGCGCAAAAGGCCACCAGGCATCTAAAATGCAGCAGCAACCGTCATCCTGAGAGCTGTGGGTGCGATTCCACAGGCCCTCCCCGCTTCCTAAAAGGGGCAGCGCCCCCTGGTGGACCAGCGCATCACCTTTTTCCAGGAAGGAGTTCCCTCTTGGGGGACGAGGGGGAGGTGGCGTAGCCTCTCCTGTGCGGGACGACCCCATTGCTCAGGGTGGGCCTGGAGGGCAGCCCCCGCAGCAGCTGGTAAACTGCAGGAGAGACAGGACAGGGGTCAGATGGGGACCCCCGCCTCCCTGATCTCCTGCCCCCAGTTTAGACCCCCTTACCCCAGTTGCCCTGCACTCCACTGTGGCCGGACCTCTGGACACCCCGGGACTTGCAGGGGCCCAGTCTGCAGCCCCTCCACGGCCCGGATACCTTTGTCGGGTCTCCGCTTGGAGAGGCTGAGCCCGTTCTCCTCGCAGGTGCTCAGGCGCCGCAGGACGTCAGCCAAGGCCGCCTTCAGCACCTGGATCTCGTCCTCCTGCAGCTGCAGGCGCTGCTCCAGGTAGGAGATGCGGTCGTCCACTTCCATGCTGCTGAGGCCGGACAGGTTGTCATCTGGGGAAGCAAAGGCCGTTAGGAGCAAGGAGCCTCCAGGACAGACCCTCCCCCATAAGCGTCTCCCAGCTGCTCTTTCATTTCCCCACCTTCCCTTTTTGCCCCTCGGGCACCCCAAGGACTGGCAAGGGTCCCGCTCCTCAGGCAACCTCTAAGCCAGGCGGTCCAGGCTGAAACTGCCATCCTAAAGGATTTGGAAGACCATCACATTTTTTGTGCCCAGCGATGTGCAAGGCCTGCCCAGGTCATTAATTCACAGATCAATGGCCATGCCAACCCCCCTCCCGATAAATATGCCCTTATTGGCGAAGGGAGGGAAAGGGGACTGTGGGCTCCCTCGTGGGAACGGGGCCATGGGGTGGGAAGTGGGCTTCCCTTGTCAATCGCGAGTCAGAGGCAGTGGGACTGGTGCTTGGCCCACCTGCTGCCTCCTTGGCTCATTGGCATTTCCACAGCAGGGAGGAGGCCCACTCAGAGCTGCCCGTGAGTGGCCTGTGCCCACCTGCTCACCCACAGGAGTGTTGCCAACTCCACCCCTGGCAACAAATCAGCAGCAGGACCAGCAGCCTTCAACGGGGGGGGGGGCTCCCCTCTTTCTTGATCTCTTCTGCAGTGATGGGCCCAGTGCCCCTCCCGCCCGCCTGTTGCTGCCGCTCGCCTGGCACTGCCGGCCCCTCCCTCCGCCTGCCCACAGCATCCCTTCCCTGCCGCTTCCACACCCAATCAGAGGCTGGTCTTGCAGCCAGGCAGAGTACCAGCCACGGATGGATGGATGAACAGAGATGGTCCTGGGGGAAAGCGGGGGGGGGGGCTTGTTGGAGAGGGGCTCCAAGTGATGGCAGGAGGGCAGTCCTGCTGGGTTGGGGTCATCCGTGCCTCCCCATCCCCCGGTCTGGGCCTGCCCCCTTTGCTGGCTGGCCTACCTCCCAGGGCTGTGAGGAGGAGGCTGCATTCGTCCCCAAGTGCCCTTCAGTAATCCCTGGAGCTGACGCACATGCGGGGAGAGCAGACGCCCTCTGAGCATGCAAAAAAGGCCGGTGGTCGCAGCAGCGGGAGGGGGGACACAAGCCCCGAGCAGGGGGGCAGACTGCGCTTCCTGCCCTTCCCGGCCCGCGCGCGGCTCTTCCCTGGGGCGACTCGGAATTCTCGGCACGGCCGTTGCGGCCGCTAGGATGGGTCGCCCCCCGCCCCGCCCCGCCTCGCCCCTCTGGGCCTGCCTGAAAACCCGGGAGGGGGTCGGAAGGAGGGGCGGCGGGGCGGCGGGGCGGGGCGAGGCTCGGGCTGCCCCGTCAGGCGCCGAGCTCGGCTAGCGGGACAGGCCGGCGCTCCCCACCTGCCTGCGCGGACGGGCGATCGCGCCTCCCCGGGCGCTGGGCAGCCTTCCCCCCCCGGCTCCGCCCTGCCCCGCGCCCTGCCCTCCTCGCCCGGGCTGCGAGACCCCCGCCCGCCCGCCAGACCCGAAGCCCGATGCGCGCACCTGCCCGGGCGGGGAGGATCGGGGCCGGGCCCCTCCCCAGCGGGCCCCGGGCGGGCGGGCGGGCGGGGGGCTGACTGCGGAAGCGGGGCTGCAGCAGAACAGAAGCCGCGGCGGCCGCTGCAGAGGCGCCCCCACTCACCGTTGCAGAACTGCAGCAGCAAGGAGGTGTCGTAGAGGCGCCCGCAGGCGGGGATCCCCTCGGCCATGCCGGCCCCGCGCCCCCCCCCCCCCCGCCCGGGCCCCCGCCCGCTCCACTCCGGGCTGCTCTCCCGCGCCCGTCCTCCCCGTGCGGTCCCCTGCCCGCCTGCCTCCCGTTGCCATGGCAACCCACCTCTCTCCTGCATCCTGCTGGCCGGGGATGCCCACGGCAAAGACCCCCCGGCTGGGCTCCCCTCTTGGCGCGTCCCCGTCCAAGCAGCCGAGCGCCCACCCGCCGACCCGCAGGCACAGGGCAGCCCTACCTTGGGCTCCTTCCGAGCCCCACCCACCGGCCGCGGAGCTCCTCCTGCTTCCCTTCCCCATCTTCACCCCTCGAGCCTCTCGCTCGCCGCTTCCCTGCGCTCGTGCTCCCCCCCCTCCCCGAAATCTGCAGACTGCTCGCCCTGCCCAGCCCCATCTTGACCACGCGAGACTGACTTGCAACTTCGGCCCTTCCAAGCTCTGGCTCTCCTCCCTCTCTCTGGGTCCCAGACTTCGTCCTCTCCTCCACTGGTGCTCCTTCCCTCTCTCTTCCCCTCCTCCTTTCCTGAAAGTTTCATTCCAGCGTTTGCTGTAGTCCTTCCTGCCCTGCAGACTCTCAACCCAAACCATTTTTCTCCTTCGTTCCTTCCTTCCTTCCTTCCTTCCTTCCTTCCTTCCTTCCTTCCTTCCTTCCTTCCTTCCTTCCTTCCTTCCTTTTCCTTCCTTCCTTCTCCTCCCTCCCTCTATTCAGAGCAGCACAAACCTTTCTCCATTCTGTCTCTTCTCTCCCCACCCCTCAATCAGATTTCCCCTCACTATTATCTAAACCCCAGGAGGCAAAATTCTGAAGCTAATCCAGGGGTGCTCAAGCCTTTCCGAGCATGCGCAGAGTGCCCACCATTGAGAACTGTTTTGCCTTAGTCCAGGCAGGTGTCTATTTGTTTCCCCTGGTTCGGTCCCTGGATGTACTTCTAATACTATATTTATATGCTGTACAAAATGCAGGACATCCAGCGTAAAATGCTTCCTCCACGTTCGTGACTGGTCTTTCGGAACCTCCTGCCACAAACGGCGAGGATAACGGGAGTCAAGAACGGTGGAGAGGAAGGGCAACGGTGTCAGTAAAATCAATGCAGATATTCCCAAATATGTGAGCTGAACATCGTCAGGGGATTTATGGGAATGACATAATGGGGAATTGTAGGCAGGACAACCAATCAACCTTGCAGCTTAGCCCCCTTTTTAAGCGAGGGATGCACTTCTATTTTTATTTCTCTGCCGTCTTGGCATGACGGGGCTTAAGTGCTTCTCCAGAACAGATGTGGAGGGGATAAATATTTCATGGCCATCAGCGACTGAGGATCCTGCTTCCATTCCAGGCCTCCGCTCTTCTCTGCAGCGGACCCCTCCCCCCCCCCTGCAGCAGCCCAGATTCTTCCTGCTTCCAAGGCAGGCGACTTAAGCCGCCACTCAGCCGGACGGGCCTCTGAGCTGTGTTCCCGGAGCCTCTGCTGGCTCTCCACGGGCCTGGTGGTGCTTTTATCCCAAGGGTTGACGGGGCTGCCAGAGTGGGCCTTTGTGACCCCACCCGCCCTTGGAATAGAGAGGGGTTCTAGGTTCCCAGTGGGTTCCTCCTCCTGGGCAGAGCCAGTGTCTGCCAGGGCTGTCCCCACCCTCCCAGGAAAGGAAGCGCGGGAGCCCAGAACCTGTGCAGAAAGCTCTCCTCTCAGCCTTTGACGCTCCCTGTTATGGCAGGAAACGGCACCTGAGGGCTTGGAGGGGCCACGTGGATTTTTAATGAGTTGAATACTAGAGGAGTTCACTTGAAAATAGTTCTTCTGGGGGGGTGGTCTTCAGCTCCTACAGCTCCCCACCGCCTGAGAGTCTCTATGGTGCCAGGTCAGGAGGAGGAGGAGGAGGGTGGTCCTTTCCATTCTCTTCCAAGGAGACCTGGGGGTCTGCTAGCCCCACAGCCACCCGGCTTGCCGAGGCCTCTTGCATGAGGGCCCTCAGCTTGAGCGTTGGCACTTTGAGGGTCACACATTTGAGCACCCTGCGCACAATTGTTCCTTGACTGGTGAGGTTCTCTGGGTACTGGGTCCAGGCGGCTTCGCCGGGTTGCCAGTGATAGATGGCATCGTGGGTTCTGGAGGTACAAACTCCGCCGATCACGTAAATCTTCCCTTGGAAGAAAGTGGCACCGGCAAACGCAAGTGGCACAGGCAGGGGAGGGATGGCGACCTCCTTGCTTACGATGCCAGCTTCCTGCATGAAGAAACATTTTGAGGTGCAAGGAAGAAGTTGGCTGAACCTCCGGTTCGGGTACGGCTGGGTGACCTTCCTGGAAAAGAAGCCCCCAATGACACAGATCCCAGCCTCCATGGGGACAGCCGCCGCCCCGTGCAGACTAAACTCAAGCGGGACCTGCGCCCAGGTATCCAGGTGGGTGTCGTAGATAAGGATGCCCTTGTAGACCACCTCATCGGAGTCAGCGTCACCGCCGATCAAGTAAAGCTTGTTTTTGTACGGCGCAGAGGCAGAAAAGCGCAGGATGATGGGCAGGCTGGCAATAGAGGTCCACACCTGCTGGGCCACATCGAAGCTCTCGGCCGAGGCGAGGGGGCCGGCATCGTTCCAGCCGCTCAGGGCAAAAAGCTTCTGCTTGCAGGTTAAGAACATGTGGACGGAGCGGGGCGTTGACATGGCGGGGAGCTGGGTCCAGCAGTCGGCCAGAGAGTTGTACTCGTGCAGTGCGCAGGAATAGGAGCCATCGGCATGCTTTCCTCCGGAGATGTAGACCCTGTGGTCCAGGACGGAGCAGCCCGGGAGGGCCACCAGTTCCAGGGCCGGCAGCTTTGTCCTGGATCCAGTGATCGGATTCAGGCACTCCATGTAGCAGTCCATGTCTTCGCTGACCGAGAGGATGTCCCTCAAACGGGGCACTTTGATGCAGATGATCTTCTCCTGGTACATGCCCTGGCGGAGCCCCCCGCTCACCTGCAGCCTCCCAGCTCCGTCCAGGTCCTGCCAGTGGACCTCCAGCTGCAGACCCAGCTGCTCTGTCTCCGCCTGCACCTGGGCGACCTCCTCCCGGGTCAGGAGTGGGAAGCGGACGCACCTGAGCAGCGTCTCCAGCACCGGAAGCCGCTTGCTGGGCTCAGCCCTCGCCCACCGCTGCGCAGCCCGGAAGACCTCCATCTCTGAGGCCACCACCAGGTGGTCCGAGGAGAGGAGGCGGGTCAGGGCCCTCAGGTCGAGCTGCAGGAAGTCCTGGTGTTCAAAGAGGAGGCCAAAGTGGAGGCCCAGGTAGCGCAGGGCCCCGTGCAGCAGGGCGGGCTGGTTGTGATCGTGGCCCAGCATGTAAAGGCGAAGGCAGTTCTCCGGGGAAATCCTCTCCATCAGGAATCTGCCGGGGCGGGGGGAATGGAAAGAAAGATCGCTGGAGAAGATGGCAGGAGAACACCCCACCCCCCCACCCCCCCAGAACCTGGGAGGAGATCAAAGAGCAGGACGGGCTGGGCTACCTGCTGATGAGTGTCAGCGCTGGGCTGAGCTGGAGCCGGCTGGCCGCGATGAAGAGGTCCTCAGCGCTTCCGGGGCTGAAAACCAGCTCCCCCGAGTAGAGGTAGCCCAAGAGATTCTGGAGGACGGAGGGGTCCATGTCCTCCAGAAGGACCTCCCCGTCCCGGGACTCCTTGAAGCCGCTTGTGAAGACGGCCTGGAAGTAGGGGCTGATGGAGGCCAAGAGGGCCCTGCGGGGGAACAGAGACGGTCAGCTTAGCCCTGGGCCTCCCTGCCCCTCTCTCTGAGCCCTGCCCAGCCTGGGGGGGGGCACCAAGACGCACCTGTTGCAAGGGAACCTCTTCCCTCCGGCGATCAGAGTGGCATCGCAGAGTTCTGGCCGTTGATGCAGATGCTTCAGACCTGGGGGGCGGGGGGGGGAGCGAAAATGAAGGGAGATGAGCTCCTTCTGCAGTAGGTCCTTCTGATTGATCACCGCAACAGTGAAGAGAATTTTGTGTGTGTGTGTGGGGGGGGAAGAATATCTTTTTTTCAAGGGGGAGGGAAGAGGAGTTTGTGACAAAACAGGAGCTCTGAACCTTTGCTCTCCTCCTTCCCTGTTTATAGGAAATTCAGCAGGATTTCCCACTGCTAGGTCTGGGGGAGTGGAAGAACAGGGGGAAAGGCAGGATGAAAGCAGGAGCTCCCAGGTGGGGAGGGGGTTCCCTTCTGCTCAGCCCGATCCCCTTTGCTGTTTGGGAAGTTTAAGGATGACCTCAGGGAGGAGGACATTGAAATGGCACCACAGTTCATGGCTCCTTCTGGCTGCTCCGCTGGTCATTTCCTACCTCCATAGCTGAGATCGGCCCCCGAAACCCACCTTGGCTGAAACAAGCTTTGAGAGACACGGCCGCCTCTGGCTGTTCATCGTTGGCCCCGTCGTCTTCTGCTGGATCCATTGTGGCCCAAGTCTGGAGCACTGACTCCCAGAAGGCTGCCCTCTCTCTGGGCCCGTTGGTTTTCGGTTGCCCCAGAGGGTCCCCCCGACCCTCCTCCTCCTGCCCCCTCAAGATCCCCTGAGAGCCCCCTGCAGAAAAGGTCCTGGGGTCTCCAAGGCAGCCCCCACCTCACAATGGGGGCCAAAACACCCTGAACCCCTGGCATCTTGGTCAGAATCCTGATGGGGACCATGAGGGTTGAAGCTCCCTCTGGCTTCCTCCGACGCCCCTTTGGGAAATCAGACTCTTCTCTCCACCCATGGAGGTGCTGGAACGCCCTTCCCAGGTTGGCCTTCAACCTGCTCCTCTGGAAAAGGGCTGTTTTGGGACAGCCCCTATGGTGCCCCCCAAAGGCTGCATGTTTTCTCTTTCCCTTCATGGGCATTAAGTGCAGGGCTGCTTATAGCTTAAAGTTCTTTGTGTAATTCCTTGCACAACTACACTGGGGAATACTTTTTGTCCTTGTGTTTGATTCAGTTAGAAAAGAAAGGCTCTCAGATCCATGGTTAATGAAAGCACACTTTATTAAAGCCACAGAGAAGCAAAGCCGGATCTGAAATTTTGTGCCCAAAGCATCCGCTTAACTCTTCCCTTCTCCCCTGGTTATCTTTGACTTTCTGATTACATCCAAACAAATTGTTTTGCTAACAGCCTCTGGCTTGGCGGGCTGGGCACATTTTCCCCTGCTTGAAACAAAAAGATGTTGATATAGTAACTTTTGCTTGGATAAGTGTGGACAACCAGCACTGAGAGGAAGTGAAACAGTAGAACAGCAGGCTGTGGAATTCTGGGAGCTGAGGTCCACAAGTCTTAAAGCTGCCAGAGTTGGATACCCCTGAAGTAGACCGATGCTGCTACGGAGTGATGTTGCCACATATCTAAACAGAAGGGAAACCCCCCACCCAGAGGGTGTAAGGGGGCAGGAAGAGGAACTCCGATCCTGCCGCCGCCCCCCCTGCAAGTTAGCTTCACCCCTGGCTTTCAAATCAGCAATTTACGTCTTTCCTCCAAATTCTGCAAGAATGATTGATAACCTTCCAACAATGGTTTATTTTACAATTATATTCAGGAATATCCCTGGGGTTCCTCATACTCATTTTTCACCAGGTCAGAAATACAATTTCAGAGGCAAAACTGGGAAGATTGAGAGGAAGCGAGCCCGGGGTCCAGGGATTCTGGAGACTCCGAGGAAAACTGGATTACGACGGAAGAGTTTGTCACCCGGGCACCGTAGTGCCCTGCCCAGAACCGCGTGTCTTTCCCTCTGTGTCTAAAATGTACGTAGCGGACTCCGCGGCCGTATCTCCTGAACGTGTGGGTTACCTGGAGAGACAGAGAAATGAAGAGACAGGGGCTCAACCATCTTTTGGACTCAGGAAAAGAGTTTTATGAAGCAGAAGCTTCTTCATTTATTTGTCATTTATTGACATTTTTTAGAATCCTTTATTTACAATTTTAATCATTCATACCAGGAGCTGTGATGGTGCAGTGACTAGATTCCAGGCACACCCCACCCACTGCCGGGAGTTCGATCCTGGCGGGGCTCAAGGTTGACTTGGCCTTCCATCGGTGAGCCACTTAGAGAGGGCTGTAAAGCACTGCGAAGCGGTATATAAGTCCAAGTGCTGTTGCTGTTTATTTGTTATGATCTTATTGCCATTGTATTTAACATGATCTCACCCAGCTACTTGCACTTTGGGGTGCTGCCCTTCTGAAAACTGGGGTAGCCTGTGAACTTGTTGCAAGAGCTCCTTAAAGCGCCACCGGCCCCCATCCAGGAACACAGAGTTTTTGATTCTGAGCTGCTTTAAGGTCTACTTGGTCCTCGATGTACGACCTCAACTGAGCCCAAAATTTCCATTGCTAAGTGAGGCAGTTGTTAAGTGACTTTTGCCCCATTTTGCTGCCTTTTTTGTCACAGTTGTTACAAGAATCACTGCAGTTGTAAAGTGAATCATGCAGTCATTAAACAAATCTAACTTCCCCCATTGACTTTGTGCGTCAGAAACAGCTGGGAAGGTTGTAAAAGGGGAACCACGTGATCCCGGGACAGCGTAACTGTCAAGATGAGGTGCTTGTTACCAAATGCCTGAATTTTGATTACGTGACCATGAGGATGCTGCAACTGTCATAAGTGAAAAACGGTCACATCAGTTTTTCAGTGCTGTTGTAACTTCGAACAATTATTAAATGAATGGTTTAATAATTAAATCGAGGACTACCTGTAGTATAATACCTATGGACATTTTAATTGATTCTGCTTGAATGTTGCTACTGTTTGCTTGGTTTTTCTTTTTTTAAAAAAACCCCTCACCTATTTGTGCAACCCCTAGATACAAAATCTATATTCTTCTTTCCTGGCTATTTTATTTTAAGACACTTTAATTCCCAGCACTTAGTAAAATGTGTGTAAAAGAAGGAGAAAGGGAAAAAGAGGAAGGAAACAGCAATCAGCCCAAGGGCAGTGACATTCAAGAGAGGCTTGAAGCCAATGTGGCAAGCAGCACCTTGTGGTAGGAGGCGTCATTCCCGTTAGGGATGGGATCTGGTTTGGCTTCAAAAAGATCAATCTTCTTTCTTTGATTAGCTGCCAAGAGGGCAACAGAGAGCTCATATACACAGCCGCAGTCCTGACAGCCACCCCACCTGCAAGAATCAGGGAGATGAAATGACAAAGCTTAAGTGACAAGTGTGGACAACCAGAAGCACTGAAAACCTCCTGTGGGTGTTCAACGTCCACAATAGCAACCTGCCTGTCCAGGCTTTGGACACTCCATCTGACCTCACATACCAATGTTCCTCCTTTGCTCTGAAATGGGAAGACCGAATAACTAAGTTGGAAGGAAACTTGGAGATCATCTAATCTAACCCCTCTTCTAGCAGGAGACCTCATACCCTTCTGGACAAATAGTTGTCCAATCTCTTCTTAAAAACCTCCAGTGTTGGAGCACCCACAACTTCTGGAGGCAAGTTGTTCCACTGGTGAATTGTTCTCACTGTTAGGAAATTTCTCCTTAGTTCTAGGTTGCTTCTCTCCTTGGTAAGTTTCCATCTGTTGTTTCTTATCCTGCCTTCTGGTGCTTTGGAGAATAGCTTGACGCCCTCTTCTTTGTGGAAGCCCTTCGAATACTGGAGCATTGCTAGTGTGTCACCCCTAGTCTTTATTAGACTAGACAATTCAGATAGTGTCACCCGAGGACCAAGGAGCCCTGTGCCGTTTCTCTCTCCTCGGGCACCCAAGGAGCCAGGAGGGAACAACACTCACCAGTCGGAGACGACAATATCAGGCTGGTAAGTGTCCAGCAGATCCTGCCAGAAACCCTCCTTCAGCAAATCGATTACCTGCTCCTTCTGACACCACCTTGATTGAGAAAAGAGCGTGGAGAAGAGAGGCAGAGGTGAAAGGCCCGTCTGACCTGGAGCCAGAGTTCACTCAACAACGCAAAGCCCTGAAATACAGGTAGTCCTCAACTTATAACAGCTCGTCTGGTCTGGTGGCCTAGTGGTAAAGACACTCGCCTCCCTTTGGAAGGTTGAGAGTTCCATCCTGGGTAGCCGCCTGCAGATGCTTCTCTATCAGGGCACAAAGAGAAAATGTCTGCTGCGAACTTGGATTAGGCGTCAGGAAGGGCATCTGACTAGTAAATGTTCGGCTCCATCTAAGTCGCCCCGACTCCAGCCCTATACAGGGGATTGCAGGGTCATAAAAAGGGAGGCTTTTTTTTTAGTGGCCATTTAAAATTACAAGAGCACTGGAAAAAAAGAGCCTTATGAGGAGTTTTCACACAATCTTTGCAGCATCCCGAGAGATATATGATCAACATTCAGATGCTCAGCAACTGAGGCATATTTATGACAGTCTCAGCATCACGTGCTCATCTTTCGCAACTTCTGACAAGCAAAGCCAATGGGGAAGCCAGACTTGCTTCATGAACATGTGATTCACTTAACTATGGCAAGAAAGGTCATAAATTGGGCCAAAGCTCAATTAGCTGTCTGGCTTAGCAATAAGAAATTTTGGGCTCAACTGTGGCCTTAAGTCAAGAACCACCTGAAGCAGAGGACGGCGTTCCTACTGATGGGAAACCTCCACAGGATTCCTCCCAAGCGACCCAGGAAGGGAGAAACCCAGGACTCACCGAAAGGAGGAGGCAAAGCAGGTCTGGGCCTCGGCGCCTTCCAGGGGCCTCCAATTCCTTTCCACGTTCCACCCGTCATTCCATTCAGGAAACTCGCATTGGACACTCCAATGTCGGAACTGCTCTACAGGCACAGAGCGAGGCTTTTGGAGGCAAGGCTAAGCTTGGCACCTTTTTTCTGCTCGCTTCCCAGCGAGGCTTGCGCAGCGCGTGCCGGGGGAAACGCCAAAGGGAGGGAGCCTGCGGAGCACCGACCGACCCCGAAGCGGCAACCCGCAAGCAAAGCGAGGCGCCCCGGAAGCCCAGAAGGGAGGGGAGCGGCGCCCGAGATGCAGCCGGGGCCGCCTCCTTCTGCCTCCTCCTCCGAGCAGCGGGGCGGCCGGACTGCCTACCTGTCCCGCAGGGGTTTCGGACGAGGTTCCTGCCCAGCGGCCGCAGGACGCCCAGGCGGCTCCAGTCCAGGCCGGGAAAGCGGCCGACGGCCTCCAGGGCTGCGCGCATCGAGGGCTCCCTCCGCCACTGCAGCTGCCAGGCGGCCGGGCCGTCCACCAGGTCCCTCCAGCGGCGGCAGACCAGCCGGCAGCGCGTGGCCAGCATCTCGGGCGGCAGCCAGCTCAGGATCAGCGCCAGCACTTCGTTGGGCAGCCGCGCCCAGTCCGGCGAGGGCGGCCCGGGGAGGCTTCCGACAGCCCGGGGCGCCTCCTCCGCCGCCATCTTCGCCTCCCTGGCCCGGGCCGTCGCGGCGCCCATCGCGGTCCCGGGCCGAGCTCTGGGGCGGCTGCCGCGCTTCCGTCCCGGGACGCGCCGTCTAGGCATTTCCGGTTCTTTCAGGTCGCTCCGCGGCGATTCTTTCAGCCAGCGCGGTCCGCGGCGCCCTCATTGGCGGATGAGATCGGCCGCGACGCGATTGGACAGCGGCTGGCCAATGAATCCCGGCCTCTCCTTCGCGGAAACCCCCGGCGGGAGAGGCGACGCAGTTTTTCGGATCCCGCCGGGTCCCTGTGCCCGACCGACACAGGGCTCTGCTGGTCGCTGCTGCGGGGTCTCCGCGTTCTGCGCCCGCTGCGCTACTCGGGGCAGCCTGGGACCGACGGCGCTCGCCAGAAGGCTCCGTGTCCCCGGTTGCGGCGTCTTGCAGGTCCCCGAAGGAAGGCAGACCCCCTCCCTCCCTCCCTCCCCCGGGTAAGCGATGTCCTCCGCGGACGAGGGTGCGGCGTCTGGACGGGGATGCCGAGCCCCGGGACGGTCCGCTGCTGTCCTGAAGCGGCTCCGCCGTGTCCAGCCGACGCCGGGTTGTGCCTCCGGCTTCTCTGATACCGTTTCTCAAACTTGGCCACTTCCAGCTGAATGGACTTCAACTCCCAGAATGCCCTTGGGGCTTCTCCCCTCCGCCCCCCCCGCCCGGCAGCTACTGTTCGGGTGCCCCGGTTTCCAGCCTGCCCGCCCGGTTCGGCCATCGCGGGAGGGGCTGCTCTGAGCCGCCGGTTCCTCCGCGCTTCCAGTCCGCTCCAGCCGGGCGACGGAGACTGGCAGCCCGTCCGGTGGGCGAGGGCGGCTCGTTCCCGCGCCCAATTTTGGGCAGCCTCGGGTGCTGTTGCGCGGCGGGGTCCCTAAAACGATGCGGAGGGGCGCGATTAAGGCGGGTGGGGTTGGGTGGGAGAGCCCCCGTCCCGAGCCCCATGCGGGGTCTGCGGGCGCTGGTAGCCCTTGGAGCGTCCCTTCCTGGAACTGGAGGCGGGCCCGGATTGCAACACCGCATCTTGTGACTTGCAGGGCGGCCGGGCCTGACGTGACTCCGGCCGGCCATCGCTTGCTCGGCGGGGCCGTTGACGGCTGGAGCGGAGCCCCGGGCGGGAACATGAGGCGAGGGGCGCGGCTGCTGGGCTTCCTCTGCCTGTGGCTGCCCCAGCTGCGCTGCGAGGGGCCCGTCCAGCCCGAGCAGGTGCACCTGTCTTATCCAGGTGAGCTTTGGGGAGGGGACCGGCCTTCCTTCAGGTGTGCTGGTCGTGGGTGGTGCAGGTCGTGGGTGGTGGGCTGCCAGCCCGCCTGGGCACAGCGGGATTCAATACCCAGTGGGCATTAACCTTTAACTTAACTTAAACCTGGACTTGGTTGGAGCCTGCTTGGTGCGGTTCTTTGCTAACTCGGTTACCAACTTCCTGTGTAGGAAGGAAGACCTTTGCTTTGCATATTTATCCACCTGGCTTTTTTTCCTTTGCCACTTTCTGTAAAGAAGGAGCCATTTCCTCCTCCATGAATGATCCTTGCCTTGGTGCTTTTGCTGCAGGAGACCCCACCTCCATGGTGGTCACCTGGACGACCTTTGACCCAGCTGAGTCCCTTGTAGTCTTTGGCCAGGCTCCAGGGAACGACCTCCCTCACAGGGCCAGTGGAAATGCGACACGCTTTGTGGATGGCGGCAACCTGAGCCGCGCCATGTTCATCCATCGAGTCACCCTCCGCGGCCTTCTTCCGGGACAGGACTACCGTAAGGGCTTGGGGCATCTCGTTCTTGGCAGGGCACCGCAGAGAGCACGCCCCCCTCTGCCTGGGACAGCACCTCATGGGCTGCACGGTCCATATAGGCAGCCTCCAAGAGAAGCCCCGGGGATCTGAAGGTGGAGGGGGGACACAGCTAGTCCTCGTCTTACACCAGTTTATTTAGTGACCATTCAAAGTGATAACAGCACTGAAAAAAGTGACTTATGACAGTTACGACCTTTGCAGCATCCCTGTGGTCACGTGATCCCCTTTTGCGACCATCTGGCCATCAAAGTCAATGGGGAGGCCAGATTCACTTAACAACTGTCGGCAAGAAAGGTCATAAAATAGGGCAAATTAACTTGACAATGTCTCAGCAACAGAAATTTTGGGCTCAATTGTGGTCATAAGTCGAGGACAACCTGTACCCTAGAAGCCACAGCATGTTCTCATGAGGGAGGAGGAGGCGTCCAGCTGCCACCCAGAGCCCAGGTCTCTCTCAGGCCTTCTGTTTCCTTATTGCTTTATTTTTCTGCCTGGCCGACCTCCTGAACTGCCTCTGGCTTGATGGAGGAGACTTCACTTCCTCAAAGCCTGTTGGAGAAATATGCAAAATATTTCTTGAAGCAGCAACTCTTGGAGGCAGAGTGCCAAAGCCTCCAGGTGGGAAGGAGCTGGCCTACCTCCTTGCAAGCCCCCTTCCTGTGGTGATCTGCAGAAAACTGCCCAGGGTTTCCCTGGGTCCTGAAATGCCAGGGGCCCCAAAGTCCTGGTTGGGACCCCAAGAGCTGGAGACCCCCATTGGCGCAGTGGGTGAAGGAGGGGAGGCTGCTGCGGAGCACGCAAGGGTCAGCAATCGGAAGGGCTGGGCTACCTGGTCCGGCCCTGGGTCTGGATACCTCCCTCTGCTTCTCTCTCCTTGCAGTCTATCGCTGTGGGAGCCCATGGGGCTGGAGCCGGCCCTATGGCTTCCGGGCATTGCTGGACGGCAGCAGCTGGAGCCCCCGATTTGCCCTTTTTGGAGACATGGGCCTGGAAAACCCCCAGTCCTTGCCCCGGTTGCGGAGGGAGGTTCAACAGGGCTGGTACGACGCTGTGCTTCACATAGGTAGGCTGAGTGGTTGTCCAGCTCTTCCCTCTTCCCTTCGTTTGACCGTGTGACCTTTGATGGTGACCCTCTTTCCCCCCCCCCCAGGAGATTTTGCCTACGACCTGCACTCGGTAAGACATCTGGGAGCACCTCTGGGCTGGAAAGGAAGAAGCGTGGCTTGAAAACTCAGTCCCAAGGCCGGACCCAGTGAGGCCGTTCCAAGAGGGCCGCATGGATGTGCCCATGGCGGGCAGGGGTGGGAGAACTCTGCCCCCGGGCACTGGCCCGATTCCAACCTCTGTCTGTTCTGCCCCTGCAGGACAACGCCCTCGTTGGAGACGCCTTCATGCGGAAAATCGAGGCAGTGGCTGCCTTTGTGCCATATATGACTTGCCCAGGAAACCACGAGGACAAGTAGTGAGTGGGGCTGCAGGCTGGCTCTGGTAGCCTAGCTGTACCTTTCTGGGTGGGGGGCATCATAGCCTTGACGTCCAGGGTTTGCTGGGTGGCATCCTGAAGTCTGCAGAAGGAAGGGAGAGGGCACCGTGTTTGTGCCTGCCCACCCTTCAGCCTTCTCCCTCCCTCTCCCTTGCAGCAACTTCTCCAACTACCGGTCCCGCTTCAGCATGCCCGGAGACACCGAGAGCCTCTGGTACAGGTGGGTCCCTGGGCTGCAAGGGGCACAAGGGCAAGACAGCTGAGACCCTCTTCCTTCCCAGCCCTCCAGTTGCTTTCATGGGGGGAAAAGGAGGCCTGGAGGTGCTCCTGCCTTGTATGGCTATAGTATTAATGTCAGTCACAAAAGACCGGTTCACCCACGAAGGTCCAATTAAACTGCTTTATTGCTAAAAGCCTTTGCACAGGAACCTTCTCAACCAATGGCCAGCACCTGCTTGGAGTTAGATAAGGGTCCACGGAATTCAAGGCAGATTGGACTTAGTTTGCTTGTGGCTATGTAGGGATTCTCGGCTGATGCCTCTTTTAACTCTGTCCTAAGTTTTGCTATTCCTTGTCCTACACGCAGCTACCCTGTAGGGAGGCTGAGACACAATTCCTGGTCCAAAGCCCCCCGGGGAGCATCTCCAGCTGAAGGTTCTGGCTCTCCCTGTCCCCAATCCATCACCTCCCCTGCTCCATCAGATTCCCTGTCTGGTTCTAATGGCACCTGAAGCAAATCTGAGTGGAGGGCCTGGGCCTTGGGACCCCCATGGAGATAGATGTCTCCCCACCTTTTGGGGGAGGGGGCTCCTTTTTCCCGCTTGTCTTCCTGCTCTTACTGGCTGCCTATCTTGCTTCCTTCTCAGCTGGGATGTGGGCCCTGCTCACCTCATTGCCTTCTCCACGGAGGTGTATTTCTACCTGGAATACGGGGAGCAGCTGGTGGCCAAGCAGTTCCAGTGGCTGGAGAGGGACCTCCAGGTAGGCTGGACCCGGTTTGGGTGGGCAGAGCCAGTTTATGCCAGGCACACACGAACCTCTGGCTTTGTTCCTCTTGGGGGCAGGAGGCGAACCGGCCTGCACGGCGTGGGGAGCGTCCCTGGATTATCACCATGGGGCACCGGCCCATGTACTGCTCCAACAACGACAAGGACGACTGCACCCAGTACGAGAGCATCGTAAGTAGGCCAGGGAGAAGCCGGCCTGAGCCCCTGGCTTTCCTGAGAAAACAGGGAGTGGCCAGAACGTTTGTTTGTTTCACTAAGCAAATTTATCTGGCTGCCCAACTTCACACTTAGCTGACCCCAGGCAGCTCACAGACATTGGGGAGTCTCTCTGTGCTGCCAGTGGGCCAGCCTCACCTGGGCCTGGGCCCCGACCCTTTCAGCCAGGAGGATAAGGCGGAAGTGCGACGGTGCTCCGTTGTAAAATAAAGCCGTGAAGGCTGGGCAGATGTGGGCAGCCTGGAGCGGGACGGGCAGGAGGAGGAGGCAGTGCTCAGTCTGGCTTGAGGGCTTTTCGCCTTCCCAGGTTCGCAAAGGGCTGAAGCCGGACGGTTACGGGCTGGAGGACCTTTTCTTCAAGTACGGTGAGCCTTCCCAGCAGCCTCTGCACTCTGCGGCCGAATGCACGTACCCAGGTGGTCCTCGACTTACAACGGTCCATTTAGTTACCGTTCAAAGTTACAACAGCACTGAAAAAAGTGACTTAGGACCGTTTTTCACACAACCGCTGCAGCATACCTGTGGTCACGTGAGCAAAACTGAGACACTTGGCAACCGGTTCATATTTACGGCGCCTGCCATGTCCCAGGGTCACACGATCGATCCCCTTTTGCGACCTTCTGACAGGCAAAGTCGATGGGGGGAAGCCAGATTAGCAACCGTGTTACTCAGTTATCAACCACACTGATTCAGTTAACAACTGTGGCAAGAAAGGTCGTAAAATGGGGCAAAACCCATTTTGGGCTCAATTGTGGTTGTAAATCGAGGGCTACGTGTAAAAAAGGGCGAAGCTTTGATCGCGCAGTTGCAACTGCCGTCTTGACAAGGTGAGCCCCGTCCTTCCGTGCACAATTCGCTAAGGACGGATGGCTTCTGAGGCTGCAGGCGGAGGGGATCTGCCTTTGCATGGAGAGGAAGCCAGCGGGAAGGAGGGCTACACCCTGATGCAAGCCCCCCCCCGAGGCTCCCCTTCCTGCCCTGACTCCCCCTTCCCTCACTTCTTCTCTTTCTCCAGGGGTAGATTTGATGCTGTGGGCTCACGAGCATTCCTACGAACGGCTCTGGCCCGTCTACGACTACAAGGTGAGGCCAGCTTTGAGGGGGGGGGGCGGAGGGGGGCATCAGAATGGGCTTCCTTCCTCCTCCACTGCCCAGGGCAGCAGCTGAATTCTTTGCCTTCTGAGCTGGCCTGCAGCCCCATGGGCCCCGACTCCCTGGCGTGGGCCGGGGGGCTCCCCTGATTTTAGACCCTTTTGCGGGGACAGAGAGCCAGAAGGCAGCAAGAGGGACCAAGCGGCCCCAGTCCGCAGGGGGCCCCAACGCAGAGAAGTGGCCCCACCGTCTCTGGGCAGAGCAGAGGGGCAGGTCTGGCCCCCAGTGTCACAATTTATTCTTTCTCTCCCCTTTTTTCCTTCTCGTTCCTCGTTCAGGTTTACAATGGGAGCACCACAACCCCCTATACCAATCCCAGCGCCCCCGTCCACATTATCACTGGATCGGCTGTAAGTTTGCAAATAGGCAGCATTAAATGTGAACTAACAATGGTGCATCTCTGAGCCTATACAGAGTTCTTTTCTTAAGAAGCTGCCTTCTTCCTGTGGAGTGTTTGGTGAAGTGGTCGAATGGGAGTGGAGAGACGTCATAAAATGGGGCAAAACTCACTTAACAGCAGAAATTTGGGACTCAATTGTGGTCATAAGTCGAGGACTACCTACCTGTATATGGGAGCACAGGGTGGAGAGAGCCCAGGAAGGGGAAGGGGAGGGCTGGCCTTAGGGCTGGCATTCTGGGCCGGTGGGCCTTCAGAGGCAGAGCCACAGGCCCATCAATCTCCTCCTCCCCCCCCCCGCAGGGTTGCGTAGAGCGGCTGGACCCCTTCATCCCAGACCCGCGAGAATGGAGTGCTCTGAGGATTGAGGACTACGGCTACGCCCGCATGCAGATCATCAACAAGACCCACCTCTGGCTGGAGCAGGTCTCGGATGACCAGGTGGGAGCTTCAGCAGCCCCGAGTCCTGGATTCTCACCATTGCTCTGCCTGGCTTGAGCTTCCATCCCTGTCGGGAACAGCTCGTCCCCAGGTCTTTGGGATGTGAATTTCCTGAGTCTCGTACCTGGCTGACAAGCAGCCTTGTCCCATCCGAGCTGGTCTTGAGCTGCAGCCACAAGCCTCGCGTGGGAGATGCTTCAAGCAGTGCTCAGGGTGGCAAGACCCCTCTCCCCTTCCTCTGTGGTAGCCAGACTTAGCTTGTTGTCAGATCCCATCTCTTTTTCCAGAGATTCCTCCAGGCTTGACCCTTTGCTTTTGGTTTCCAGAATGGGAAGGTCGTGGATAAGATTTGGCTGATCAAAGACCGGCCTGCCCCCGGCACTGACCTGCGCCGGAAGGTCTGAGAAGGCATCGCAGCGCCCTTCTGGTCCAGACAGCTGGCCAGGATCTCACCTTCTGAGCTCCAGCAGCTTCAACTGCAAACTGGCACCGTGTTCTCTGGCCCGAATGTGAAGCGGTTTGCATGATCCCAAATGTGACCCCGGCTACAGAGGGGGTCAGAGAGTCAAGATGGAGACCTTGACCCATGGAGAAAAAGCGGGAGCTTCAGTGATGTGGCTGCAGCTGCCCTCTTGATGGCCTCCTGCACTTATCTGTCTGCCCTTCCTGAATTTAGGGTTAGCTTGAGAGAGAAATAATGTTTCATGTCCTTAGTGCAAACTGTCCCTACTTAACACCGATAGGAATTGGTTTTCTGCCTGCTAATGGCAAATCATGGATTGTAGCCCAAAGAGATGGCAGACTGGCCCAGGGCAATGAGGAGTTATGGGTATCCACAAATTTATGGGATGCTGGTCTTTACTGTAGCATTAAAGACAAACAACACAGCTTGATTTTTTTCACATAATACTGTAATTACTTGAATAAAAGTCAGAAATAAAGGGAGATAAGAAAAAAGGTGTTTATTTTTAAACCAGACTTTTCAGATGGTTTTTTTTATAAATTTCTGCCTGGATTAATGTACTGGTAGGATGGAATTTGCAATTTGGAAAACAATCAGTAGTGGTTCTTAATGGAAACAGGTAATTGGCGGAAGGAACAGGGCAGGCTCAGCAGGACACAGTAAAATACACAAATGGGCATTTCTTACAAAACCTTGCAAAGGCTCTTGGCTGGGGGGGGGCTGTGTGTGTGTGTGTGTTGGTGATCGGATGGGAGACCACGCGGAGAGCTGGAGGCTGACAAGAGCGGGAAGGAGCCAGGCCAAACCTCCTCCGTTGCTGCCCAACAGACCGGGCCAGCTGGGCGTGAGATCCCCGTTTTACCTCTGGGAATTGCCGGGAGGGCTCCTTTGCCACTCGGACCCGGGACGTTCTGCAGGATCGGGCCGCACCGAGGGTGAGGAGCAGCTCCAGGACGGCTGGGCTCAGCGGTGGCTGCCGGCCAAGTAATCGAGCCTCCCCTCCCGCGGCAGTCTACCCCAGGCCTCGCCAACTTTGGGAACGGTAAGACTTGCGGACTTCAACTCCCAGAATTCCCCGGGAGCCGCGACCGCAGCAAAACAGCGAAAGTGCCTCGAAGCGCCTTTTCACGCGCAGCCATTCGCCCTCTCCCGCTCCGCCCCTCTCCCTCTCGGCCAATAGCAGGCGGCCTCCTAGAGCGCTCTCCGGCCCGGCGTTGCCTAATCAGGAGCGAACCCTCCTCCTTCCGGCCGCCTCGAGGGGCGGGGCACTCTGTCGCCAGGCGACGGGGAGGCGCTTGTCCCCGGATGTTGCCCGGCCGCGGCTTGGCCGGCTCCCAAAATGGCGTCGTCGTTGTCGTCGTCCTGCTCGTGAACCGCACCGGGACCGGCCTGCGCGGCGGCGGCGGCGGCAGCGGAAGCTGTTGAACACCGACCGGCGGCGCCACCTAGGGGGAGGCGGGCCAGCAGAGGGGTGAGCGAGCGCAGCGGTGGGCGGTTGGGGGTCCTTCGGCGGGGCAGCCCCTCGCCTCAGGTCTCCTTCAGGGGCCTCCCGCAGGCTCGGCCGAAGCAGGCGCCCCTTTGTGGGGGGCAATGGGGCCTCGTCGGCTGGGTCAGCCCCCCCTTCGCGTTTGTCACGGGTTAAAAGGCAGGGGGTGAATGGGGGACCACGCGGAGATGCCCGAGCTGTGCAAACCGCCCTGGGAAGCCTCGCCTGGGCTATTATCCTTGAGGGGCTTTGGGTGTGAAGCCTCCAGAGGGGCTTGAAGAAATTTGGGCTGTGGGAGAAGCTGCTTTTTGGTGCAGGTATCCTAGACTTACAACCATTCGTTTAGTGACCATTCTACGTTACAGCTGCCCTGTCAAAAATGACTTATGGCCATTTTTCACACTTATGGCCATTGCAGCATCCATTCGTGGTCACATGGGCCACTGACTCGTACTTATGACGGTCAATGTGTCCCAGGGTCACATGATCCCCTTTTGCGACCTTCTGACCAGCAGAGTCGATGGGGAAGACGGATTCGCTCAACAACCGTGTTGCTAACTTAACAACTGCAGTGATTCCCTTAACAACTGTGGCAGGAAAGGTCGTAATACGGGGCAAAACTCAAAATAGTTGTCTTGCTTAGCAACAGAAATGTTGAGCTCAGTTGCGGTCGTAAGTCGAGGATTACGTGTATTGCCTCTGACCAGGTGTGGCATGGAGGGAGGTGAGCCGGGCAGGTGGTTGTGCCTTTCTCCCTCACCTGGGAATTCCTGCGGAGCCGGCTTTTCTCACCGGGAGCCCCAGGCGGGTTCAGGGCTTCCCTTCCCTCAGCTTTGCTTCAGCCGCTCTCTGGGCCTTGAGAGAGGGCGGTGGAAACCCTCGTTGTGTTAAGTTTTCTTTTCTTTTTTGGTTGCCATTTCTGCCATTTTCGTTTTATTTTTTTAAATCAGCGGTTTATAAACTGCCCACTGGGAATAAGATGGCGTACACTATGAATTCACATTATTTAAATTTAAATAATTAAATGGTTGCAGGAATTGGGTATGTCTAGTCTAGTGAAAAGAACGACTGGGGTGGCATGACAATATTTGAGGGGCTGCCACAAAGAAGAGGAGGTCAACCTATTTTCCAAAGCACCTGAAGGCAGGACAAGAAGTGACGGCTGGAAGATTATCAAAGAGATATCAAACCTAGAACTAAGGAGAAATTTCCTGATATTTAGAACAATTAACCAGTGGAACAACTTGCCTTCAGAACTTGTGGGTGCTCCAACACTGGGGGTCTTTAAGAAGACCTTGGACAAGGACTTGTGTGAAATAGTCTAGGGCATGGGTGTCAAACTCATCGCCTCACGTGATGTGTCACAATGTATCGTGACTTTTTTTGCATTGCCGGAGCTGGGGTGGGCGCGGCCTCTATATGATGCAACTGGCCCGTGGGCCGGCAGTTTGACACCCCTAGTATAGGGTTTCCTGCTTGTGCAGGGGTTGGACTAGAAGACCTCCAAGGTCCCTTCCACCTCAGTTATTCTGTATTCAAATTTTCACAGGTGGATAATTGGGGGTAGGGGAGTAGACCAGTTCCTTTGATTCTAGGTGAGCTAAGCGTGGTTTTACAAAATGTCCCCCACCGCCCCTTTAGCTTTAAGCCAGCTGATAAGATCATCAGCTTGTAAGCCTCTTTCAAGAATTTACTTTTGGCTCACAGGTTTGAAGTGAATCTCTCATATTTATAAACTGCAAACTCAATTTCTGATTGTTTGTGACTATTAATGCCTAGATAGTCATGCCTCTCTGTAGATCAGAGAAATTTTAAGTCTGGAGAAGCTCAACTTCTACACTTTACAAGCGTTAAGTGTGCAAAAAAAAACCCTCTACTAAAGTGATTATGGGGTGTAGCTAGCTGGTATTTCATCTTGCATAAACTATTCTATCCCAGAAAAAGACCTGTCTGAATCTTTGAAACTCTGCTTTGCAGCATTTTGTTGAAGGCTCTTCTTGCTGTTTAAAGTAAATTTTTCTAGATCTGAGATGCTCTGGCAGATAAAAGTCTTGGAAAATTTAGAACATGAATGGCGGAGATGATCTGTTTCAGGATGAGCCCAGAGTAAGATTTTGGCACCTGTAAGTGGGACACACCCTGCTCCTTATATTGGTGTAGGCTCCGTATATCAGTAAAAGCTCCATATATTGGTGTGGTATATTAGTGTAGGCTCACTTTCATATTTAAGGATCATTTGTCTGAGGTTGTGATTGCAACTTCTGTATGTTGTTCTGTAATAAGGAATTCTGGGATATTTTGGTCATATACCGATGTTTGTTTGTGAAATTGTTCTGAATTCTATGCTCCAAAGAGGCCGATACCATTTTTTTTCTTATTATATACAAGGTGATTCAGGCATTTTGTTTATAAAGATCCGTATAAAGACAAGTTTCGTCTTGTTTCTCAGCACTTTCCGCCTCTGATTTATGCCTTGAACATGTCACCAAAAACAACTTGAATGCAGAGGTTTGTATTCCAGGATAATTGATTTACTGATAGATTCAGAAACCCTTCAAAATGTTTCAGAAAATGAGCAGTCTGTCTGAAAACTGGTCTCTGGTTGTTGTCCTTATTTTGATGAGATGTTTCTTGTGAGTCCCATTACAAACTTGGAATCACTTCAAAAGAAATCAGGATCTCTCTTCAAGGAAACAGGGAAAAGAAAGCCAAAGAAGCAGAAGATTAAACAGTTAACTATATTTGGAATGTTTCGAGAGGTGCCAGCTTGTGCTTACTGCATTTATATACGGAAGAACGCTCAGTTGGCACTTTATTTGTTTCTCTTAGAAATAAGAGTTCTTTCCTGTTAAAAGTTAGAAACATGTTGCTTCATTTTTTACAAAAGAGTTAGAATTCTTGGCCCAGTGGTCAAACTTGTTTCAAAGGAGATTTTTCCAGTAATCTTCAGGTTCAGATTTGGGGAGCGTGATGGTTAAGAGACCCCATTTTCATAGCCTGGAAAAATGCTTCCAGGGTGAAAAAGTTAATACGGGACATTCTGAAAGCCAAGAAGGATATACTTTTCTTTTGCCAATGAAAACATTAGTTAATCCAAGCTATGTCCTTAAAAAATGCTCAACTTCTAATAACAGAGCAGACCTGTTAGTTGCCTAAATATATTGCTCTGAGTCTTGTGGGTGAGAATTTGAGAAACACTCTGGAGCATAATTCAGTGGTGAGACAGACATACCTACATGGGGTATGTCAAATATTACCAGATGTTTTGCCTTGGATTACAAAATATTTTTTCCCTGAAGTATTTTCTAAATGCCTGTGTTTTGCATTTCTCTACAAAGACTAGAAATTGTTTTTACAAATCTTTCAGAAGAGGATTCTTGCTCTTTGATCATAATAACCAAGTCCCTTCTCCATCTTGGGCCAGCCAGAAGATGGCAAGCAGGAGCTTTCTTGCTGCCTTATTCCAAATCCCGGGCAGAGCCTGATTATGCTAGGCAGTCAAAGCCATTCCCTCTGAATGGCGGAATGTGATGTTGGGGCTTTTTCAATTAATGAAAGAGCAAGCAAGAAGGTATGCCTGCTAAGGGGCATACAATTATTTGTGCCCTAAATAAAGTCAAATATTAATGCAAAAAAATCTATTTCAGTAACTATTAGTTCTCTGTTCCAGTGTTTCTCAACCTTGCAGGCTGAAGTCCACATGTCTTCAAATTGCCAAGGTTGAGAACTCCCAGAATCCCCAGCTGTGCTGGCTGGGGAATTCTGGGAGTTGAAGTACATACATCTTCAAACTGCCAAGGTTGAGAAACACTGCTCTCTTCTGTTTAAATAAATCCACCACTCCTGTTTATTTTATAATAATAATATTACCTAAATCAAAAACCTAAGACTATTTCTGATTATAGCAGGGGTGTCAAATAGGCCGGATGTGTCATGCCGAAACCGCGCCCACCCCATTGCCGCCAGTGGGAAAAAAGCCACGATGCATCGCGACAC